AGCATCGTCTACCCATCAATCCAAAAAAGAGACAGTCCTCCCACAGAAGCAAAAAAAGTAGGAAATGTGCTGGAAATGGAAATTAAGGAGTCAAATCTAATGTTTACACTTATCAATAATATATTCAAGAGCACTGGGGGGTTGTATCCAACAAATGATGTGTGTTTTCAGTGGTGTCTAAAGGAGCTGAGGGCTCTCCAGGCTCATTGCTATTCCCAGATTCTTTTTTTTTGCTCTCCTGAGTACTCATGGTGCATTCTGGTATTATCGACTTTTATGGAAATCCTTTATTCCAGAGCCTTATGACCCAAATACCAACATAATCAGTTTTAATTTTACTGGGTTCATACCTATCCTTGCAGCCTCTGCAGTCCCCACTTTGGGGCCCACTGATATAAATATTGCCTACGGCCTGTCAGGTAGAACATCATGTTAAAATAAACAGGGCCTTGAGGTTTAACTTGGCAGTGCCAGCTGTGTCTACACTTGGCCCAGTTTTAACCTCCTCTCATATCAAACAGCACTTTGAGAGAGGTTCTTTCATAATGGCATTGACTTAAGTATATAAAAAACTATATGGGAGCTTGGAGCATACAAGGATTGTTTCTCCAAAAATCAGGATTACCCTGCCATGAGCCCCATAACCTGTCATACACCTTATTAGTGCCAGCTGGTGCGTGTGTTCCCTGGGCAGTGTTGGAGACACACGGCCCTGATGGGCTGAAACACAGGAAGGGCTCAGGGCTATAGTTCAGGTGAGTCAGCACATCCCAAAACAACTCCTGCCTTCGCCCAGGAATTCCACCATGCTGTTCCCCATCTCTGTGTGTCTCAGCTCCCTGTGAAACGCAGAGGAAAAGAAGCAAATTGGCCGAAATAATCTGAACAAAACCATCAAAGAAAGATGGATCTGAACTCCTCTGGAGGCCTTAGCAACAGCAGAGCTGGTTATAAGAAGGAGCAGCAACTTTTTTCTGCCTCTCCTGGAGACATTGGAGAAGGGGACAGAGGGATGCCCTCACCGAGGGCCACGATAGAGCCACAGGGCTGTGACTCAGCACAACCCCAGAGGGGATAGAAGAGATGAAGTGAGGAGGAAAACACCAGCCAAGTGCTTTTTTATACTGCAGCAGATCCCTGGGGTCCCGTGTGAGTCAGCAGCAGCGGCACCATACCCATCAGTGTCCCGGTGCTCTGAGTCACTCTGAGCCCCAGATGGCCCCAGAGAAGGGACAGGGGGATGAAAAGCCCTCCCAAGCATCCCTCCTGTGCTCAGTCAAACCAGCCACTGAGCACTTGCTGTGGTTTTCTAACACATGATACGTTGCCCCCTGCCCGTGCTGACCCAGCATGGGTGTTCCGAGACACTGGTCCTGGAGAAGGGCTGTCTCCCAGGATACACACAGGGTAAAATAAAATACTCAGTGTGACCTAATACAGTTTATCTTCCAGGATTGCTTCCACATCCAGTTTAGTCTGAAAATCAAGGCTGGCACAGTTTAAGTTTTCTTTTGCGCAATGAAGATGTCACTCAAAATTGATGCTTCCTTCTGTGGGACTTCCTGCAGGATAAACAAACCAGAGCTTGTCCCTTGCTGCTCCTCCTTCCTCTTCCCTTCTTCCTTGGGATGCAGTTCCAACAGGCAGAGAATTATAAGGCAATATAGAAAGGCACAGGATGCAATAATCCAGGGTTTAATACACATTTAAATTGGTAGTTTGATTCAGAAGGAAAATGAAGACATATATTGGTGGAAGGATCACTGCCACAGCACACTAGGGTCATCTTCCTGGGGCCCCCTCTCTGATCCTCAGCCCTGAGGTTTGGCACCTCATTTGCTCAAATATGGGAAATATCAGAAGCTCATGGAGCAGCTCTGCTCCTATTAAAACCTCACTGAATTAATTAGAAGTGAGGGATGGGTCTGGGTCTTTTTTAGTTCAAAAAATAAAGGCAGGAAATCTCTGACCTCACAAACACCATCCTACACAGTCACCTCATCACACACTGGGTTGAATCCTTCCCTGCAGTGCTCACTTCCAGCAGGCTGACCTGATCCATTTTACTCCATCAAAAAAACCCTGTGTCAAAGTTTTTGATGATGCAGAACATATCCAAGGAGCTGATAACAACAATAAAAAATCATTTTGGCAGCCACTTTGCCAAGCATTTGTTTTACAGCTCTTCCATTTTGATAGGTACTTGCTCAGGGAGGAACAGAACAGCAGCAAAAGGCCACAGGTATGTGGGAGAAAAGGACACTTTTATTCTGTATTAGATTAAAGCTAACACATTCCCACATTTCATATTGCTCCCTGGGGAGGGAACCCAAGAGGGCAGGATTGCCACCCTAAATCTGCTTGATCCCTTGTATGATAATATGGAAACATGAGGATTAAGGGCAACAAATACAGGTCAGGGTCTCCTAATCTGCGTGGCACAGACCTGCACAGCGTGTTACCCAGCTGGGAACTTCCAAATCAGACCTTAAGTGTCTCCAGTGCACTTTGCTACATGTTTAATAGAGTTTTAATTGCAGAGTGATTGGATGTGATATTACAGAATTACCACAGATTACTTAATTGCTGAGGTTAAGCAGATAGTTCTCTCAATATGTGTTTTTGCTGCTATAGATCTCTGCCTCCATATTATTTGGCACAACACTGCCTGAGCAACAGAAGCAAAGATCATTAACCAGGAGAAAACCACTTTCATTTAACGTGTTGGTAAATTTAAGAGGTAGATGTGTGAGATTCTTAAAACTGGCTGTAGAAAGAATCCGGATCCTGCCGTTCCTAAAGAGCTGCACGCAGGGGTGAGCAGCTGAGAAGTGCCAGTGCATGGAGATTTCTGCAAAAATTATGATGTGCCTGAGTGAACCTGTGTTTGGAGCCATTTGGGAAGCTGCTTTCACAGCCTGAGAACGCAGCTAATCCTGTGCAGGCGCTGGGAAAGCAGATGGGCTGGAGATGTGATGTTGGCTCATTCCTGTTGTCCCGAGGCTGATGGATGGAGGAGGAGAGGCTGGAGAGTGTTGCTTCTCCTGTGGCCTCTGGGAGGGACCTCCTGGAGAATCATGGGGGGACTGCTCCATCCAGGGAAAACCAAAGGTCCATACAACAGAGAAATTAATTTCTGGAGGTGGTCAGAAGCAGGTGCTCAGAAGTGTGGAAGAGCAAGGCAAGTATCCATGCTCCCATCGAGCTTCCCAGTGGATCTCCTCAACTCTCCTGTGCCACACATCATGTAGGGCCTCACCCATCAGTCCCATCAAAGCTCCTCAGGGAAGGATCAGACACAGGTCAAATTCATTCACTTGATGGCATCTGAGGGGCTGCTGGCTGTCTAATGATGAATTACATCTGTGATCACTGTGACCACAGAGCAGCCAAAAACACTCAGTTTGAAAAAATTAATTCACTTGGACAAGGGAATAAAAACAGACCCTTCTTTCCAAAGCATGTCCCTTCAGTTGCCTAAATCTTTATTGAATAAATGGCTTTTGCAGCATTCCTGGAAGATGCTGTCATACATCATGCAGGCTGGTGCTGAAGGAATAGAACCCTCTCCATTGTAAGTTATGTGTTTAATAAGAGAGGGAGCACATGGCATTGAAGTAGGGCTGTGATTATGGAGCCAGGCACCAGGAATTATTTAATTTCTGTACAAATTAGGCAGTGACTCGACTAATGATGACACCCACAAAAATGGGGCGCAGAGTCTTCCCTCCTCACTCCACTACTAAAGCCTCCCCTCTGTCTCTTGGCTGATGGGGAGATGTGACCACAGCCAGACTTGTTCCTCCTGGATCACACTCTTCAAGGGAAGCACAGCTTCTGCACATCTCCTCCACGAGCTAAGGCACAGTCCCTGGGGAATGACAGCATCTGGGTTGGCGACATATCCACATAAATATTTTCAATACCAAGGTAGAAGGAAAAGCAGCCTTTGGCTCCACGTGCCAAATCTATGTTGCACTTCTGGTATCCTCACTCTGCAGGAGAGCTTTGCTGCTTCCCAGGCCGTTACAGGTCACAAAGAGGACAAGAGTTATGCAGCCCTTGTTGTCTGTAGAGCAAATTTGGGATAAAAAAATTGCCTTAATTATTTTATTTTCTTCTTGCCTTTTATTGTGTTAGGTTTTAACTGAAATTTCTTTATTTCCTGCTAGGATTGTGCCAGAATCCTGCTGTTCCATACAGAGGTTGAAATGTATATTAAAAACGGAGACAAATCTTTCTCTTGATTGCCTGATATATCTCCTTTTTAATCCAGACTGACAAATGCACTCTATCAACAACACTTTTACCCTTCAGATTTGTTGCATTTTGTTTACATTCTTTGACATCCCTCAGCTAGAATCTGGAAAGTTAAAAAAACAGTGTCTTTCTCTGCTTACCCTTTAATGAATCATTTTTATTATGGCAAAGTCCAGACCCAAAACATGTTGTAATCTCAGGTATTGCACAAACGTAGAACAAAAGGACAAGCCCTGCCACCAGAAAGAGCTCCTGAGGCTGTTTAATGATCCTCAGCACCGTGGGGACTGCAGCCAGTGGCTCCATGTAACAAGCTAATGGGATTATCATGTCCCTGGCTCCCTGTCTACCTGGATGAAAAACACACACTAACTGTCTCTGAGAGTACTTTGGACAAGATACCCAGTGTCACAAGGGCATGAAACACAGAGGACAGATGTGAATAGTTTCATTTAAGCTGGTGTCTGAACCAGGCATCGGCAGTCCTTCGTCTGCACCTTCCATTGTTCACAACGTCGCTGCCCCGGTGCCTTTGCTATTTTCTATTACTTCTGTTATGCTTGTTTTTGCAGGCTGGTTGTCCCTCAGGGTTATTAAATTCATTGCACAACGGCAACAGGAGAACAACCGGGGCTTTAGGAAAACAGTTTACAGCAATAAAACCCACACGGACAGGTCCCTTTTTCACCTTGATGATAAATTGCTCAGAAAATAAGGGGCTTTTTTTCCGTGCCTTGCAGGTGCTGTGGTGATCGCCTTCGTGGTCTGCTGGCTCCCTTACCACATACGGCGCCTCATGTTCTGCTACGTCCCCTCCAGCCACTGGACAGAGTGAGTGACAACGTGGGGGACAAGGTCCCCACACGCCAGGATGGGGTGGGGGGGTCAGGCTGGAGCTGTTGGCACACCCACAGATGTGGAGGTGGAGGAGGGGATCTGGGAGTAAAGGCGTTCTCTGTGCCAGGAGTTAAAGCCTCAAACCCCTCATTGCTGTTTTGGTTTTTTTCTTTTGCGTTTCTCAGTGTTTACCGGCCAAATTAAGACTCTGAGTCTTGCCGTGTCAATCCCCCAGACATGGCTGAAGGAATCATCAACTTGAACCAAAATGCATCGACAGCCCCCCCTCCTCCTCCTGTGGGCTGTAACCACAGGCTCACCCCTGCTGGACGCAGCGAGGGGCGTTCACCCCTGACAGCCCTTGATGAAATGGCATTTGGACAGGGGGGTTTTACACATCCCGAGTGGATTTCTGTCTCCGTGCCAGAGATATCGATCCCCAGCCCTAAGATGGATCACCTCCCATCAACACATGATTTAGCTCCATGAGGCCACGTTTCCTCAGTGACAGGAGAGATCACACAGGCGGGGGAATAACTGCGCTGCTTGCTGAGGCTGGGGCAGGTTATTTACTGCGTTTTGCAGGGAGTGGATCAGAATTAAATACCAGCAGATGCCTCTGATTAGGAAATGCCCAGATTGTCAGAGAATTCTGGGATATTTGCACGCCTGTGCTGAACACACGCGTGCTGCTCACAGGTGTGCAAAGGGCACCCCAGGAACTCCCTTTCTGCAGCACCAGGCCAGGTTCCTCAGCAAAGCAACCACCAAACTGGTTATTCTTTAAAAACATATACTTTAACACTAATGCTGTCTGGGGACACACCCAGGAAGGCTGAGATGCCATGGGATGCACTCGTGTGTCTCCTGCCAACATCCCTGTTCTCCCTGGGACTGAGTCTGTTTCCTGCAATGAACAGGAAAAGGAAAAATAATCTGCAATACTAAGAAGCACAACTACGAGACATCAAAATTTCACAAACTCCCAGTACAAAAAATAGTTGTTGAGGATACAGCAGTCTACTGAATGGAACTGTACATCCATCTGTAGTAAAACCCAAAATCTAATCTTCAGTCATAAAACAGAGCTCTAGGCACGTACTGGGACAAACTGTTGTTTCTCCTTTGCTTTCCTGTATGAAAAGCACTTAAAGCAGCATTCAGTTATGTAATGACTGCATTTGCTTTGAGCAAGAGGGGTAGAGAAGTCTGTCTGCAGTTAGTGTGAATTTATGCATCGTGGTTGCATTCCCATATTATTTTTTTTTTAATTTTCTTATAAAGCCAAGGGCAGTTTTAGGAAAACGTTGAATTTGCAGGCATGTTATGAACGGTGAACTATCAGTCTGGTGGCTAACTGAGAGTTTGCAGCAGCTTGACATATTCATTTATAAATGGATGTGCCTTGCCCCTGAAGAAGAGAAATTTTTCCTATATTAATTCTTCACAACTACATAGAGAAACTCTGCTTGTAAGAGCTGGATGGGCCATGTGGTCCTTGGCAGTGCCAAGGGGGTGTGGAGGGATGGGTGATGAAGTCCAGCACACGTCTATTTATCTTTTGTTAGACACTGCTCAGGCTAGCTCAAAGGTCTGCAATTTCCACCAAGATAAATGATTCTGAGGAACATCTTCCTGAAAATGAGACCCACGCTGTTTGTAAATGCTTTGCCAGCTCAGGGCTGTTGATCTCAGTTGTCCCAAGGAAAGATATTTCCAAAAGCAAAAAAAAAGGTAATAAAGCACTTTCAATCCGTTCTAGTTGAAAACATCAGACTGTGGTGGTCAGGATGTGTTTCAAAAGCATGCTGTCATCAACTTGCCCCCAGAACAGGGAATGCTCTCCCAGATTACAGACAAATCCCAACCCAGGGACCCACGGAATGAGCTGATGTTGCTTTCACTGCCGGGGGGGAGGAGAGAGCTGCATCTGTCACTAGGGTTTGGCTCTTCTACAAGCTCTGTAGACCAGAACTGCAGCCAAAAAAGTCAAGCTAATGTATATGTATGACACAGAAACAAATTTCCATCTGGCTTCTCAGTTTCCAGAAGGTCTATTTTCAAAGACAAAATGAGCACATGAGGTAAATGTCATCTTTGCCCCCCAGGGCAGTTATTTTCTAACTAGTAGTGATTGGGGTAATATCTTCATAGGGACATTTGATCTATGTTTGACCAGTTCCAGTTCAAGATACAGATTCTTTTTGGTGGCTTATGCACCACTGGTAAGCTCATGTGCCCAGCCTAGAAAGGTTGGCTGAAAAGCAGCTCATGTTTTTCTCGCCCTTGTGCCCTTTGAATTTTTTCAGTTCTCCACACTCAGAATTTATCTTTCATCTGTTCTTCCAGTTTCCTTTACAACTTCTACCACTACTTCTACATGCTGACAAATGTCCTCTTCTACGTCAGCTCAGCAATCAACCCCATCCTCTACAACCTGGTGTCGGCAAACTTCCGTCAGATCTTCCTCTCTACGCTCACACTCGTGTGCCTGCCGTGGAGGAAGAAGAAGAAACGACTGGCCTTCACCAGGAAATCCAACAGTATCTCCAGCAACCACACATTTTCCAGCCAGGTCACAAGGGAGACCACGTACTGAAGCCTGGGGAGGAAGGGAAATGCAACTCATCATGGAGTCAAAACTGGAGAGAGGCCTCTGTGACTCTCGTGCATGGTCTCCAAATTCACGTGACACAAATGTGTTTAGCAAAGTCATTTCTGTTGGAAAAATAGGCTTTGTTCTGCCAGTAACTTTGAGGTTATTTTAAAGCATCGGCCTTGCCTCTTGTGAGTGATGTCTACACATATTGTAACTTCAGTCTGGCATAAATCCAGATGTGGTGTTAACTGGGAAGCCAAAATATGTTAAACTTAGGCAAAACCGTACTGCATTTCATCCTTTTCTCAGTGCAGAGATGCCGTGTTCACATCCAAGGGTTTGAGATCACATCTCTTGGTGGCACCAAGCAGAGAACCCGATGAGGAGAAAGCAGTTTTGAACAGAAAGGGATGTCTTTGGAGAATGGACATGCTCATCTATGGGATTTTCAGTGGACAAGGAGTGAAAGCTCAGGGAGCCAGGTGGTTATTTTAGAAATATATCTACATTAAGAGTAATATGACCAAGGTGCTCAAGAGAGCCACTCTGGCTCCTTGAAATCAAATAAGAACAGATGATGCCTTACCTAGGCTGGGGTGGCTGTGGCCTGGGAGAATGGGTGGCACCTTTGACTTTAGGGCATCCATAGTGCCTGGCACAGCAAACCCCCTCTCTTGCTGGTTTTGGTACCACAACACCAATAAATAGCAGAGTCTCTGGCAAGGTCAAGAATGCAGAGCCTGTGCCCAGCTGGAGTGCTGAAAATGAACAGAAATGGAAAATCTTATTGTTTCCATCCAGTCAAATCCTGTTTTTTACTATAGAGAATAGTTTGCTGACCTGCTTTAAGAGGTGAGAAAACTTCAAGTTCATGAGGGCTCCAGGTTGCTGAGGTAAGAGCAATCTGCTCCAATTCTGTGAGACCTTCAGATTTTTCCCATTCTTATTCCAGTTTTACCTGTTTCCTCACCATTTTTGAAAGGTTGATGTCTCATAGGTTATAGAAGCTGTAGGCAGCAGGGCTTCTTGTTCTATCTTTTATTTCTTTTTACTGCCAGACCTGTTGGTACACTGAACTGTACCCAAAATCTTCAGGTAGTGCAAATGGCGAACACAAAACAGTCTAAACTGAGGAGTCATAGCTCTAAAGCAACTTTCTTTTAACAAGCCTGAGGAACAGGAAATTTCTCAGTTCAGGATAGGTGCCATGAGCTTTTCTCCCATATGGTTCCACCTCTAACAGCCCTCTGACTGTGTGATACAGCAAATTGCTCCAGAGTCTTTAGTACCAGAAACCACAGGGCTCTGGGACAAGGCTTTCCCTGCTGTCACATCACCAGATGTGCACAAACCTAGAACCAACCTATCATCCTGTGCAACCTTTGCTGTCGGTGACCCCGTGTCCCCTTTCACACCACACTTCATTAGGAGAGCAGGGCTTGTCTCTTTATGATGACAAAGTAGAAGAGTCACTTGGCTCAATTCTGCTTTCCAGGCTTTGCCCATCCTATGTCACTCTCCTACTAAAGATCACCCCTGGTACCTAATAGAAATCCCAGTGCTGGAGGTGTGGATCTGGCCCCATGAACTGCCACAAAGTGATGGAGACCAGTTACTGAACCACTGGGTGCTGGGGACTTCTCCTACAGATAGAATACGATAGAATTATAGAACTTGTCAAGTGGGAAGGGACTCACAAGGATCACTGAGCCCAACTCCCTGGAGTTGTGGTTTAGGTCCTGTTGGGCTCAGGACATGGAGAAAACACCCATGGGTCATTTGCTGTGAGTTGTTGGTGATGACTGACTACTTCTGAGGCATTTATAACCTGGCAGTTGTACAGAGCTACTATGGTAGACCATCAACTGACCTCCAACCAGCCCAGCCAGGGATGGGAGATGATTTTAATGCCTAGTACAGAACCACTCCAAAAGAAAGGGCTCAAAATAGAAATCAGTGGGGCTTTAGTTTCTTCTGATTCAACCAAACTGCAAGCCCTGTTTTGTCATGCCTTCGTTTGATTTCTTGCCCTGGATGTACCAAACAGAGGGCAGAGATTATATTTAACAGAGCACTTTTGTTGCTTATGGACTATTGACTCCTCTTTGACAAGGAAAACAGGTAGTAGAAAAAAGGGGAAGAGTCTTCCTTGAGAGGAGAGGAGTCAATGTCACACCCTTAACGTTGGCCTTCCAGGCAAGACACTTCAAATGTTTCTGGACAGAACCCAAATTTTTTAACTTCACCTCTAAATAGAGCCAACGTCTGGGAGGTGGTTTCTGAAACCTCCCACAGAAGCTGGAACTGTGTGTTGCTTTGACTTTCATTACAGTTTAACACTCTGCATGTCTCAGTTGCTTTTGAAATATTAAACATTATTACTAGACTTGTTCAACACCAACCTGCTGATGTGCTTGATTATCTTAGAAAACACTGTACAAAAGTTGTTGTTTCACATAGATTTTCATTACTGAGATACACTGGCAGCTTACAGAATATTTGATCACAGCTCAGAGAAACTGGTAAGTTTATTTTTGGTTTGACATGACAGTGGGAAAAAGCTGGATTAAAAATGTACTTATGATAAACTCTTAAACTCTCACTGTTGCTGGGCCACTCAAGTGTTGAAGATCTGGGGGAATTCAGGGGATTTATCCAAGTGGTTTGCTGACTTCCACAGCTCTGTTCCCTCAGTTTAACAGGAAAGCAGACCTGGGTCCAAGGCCTTAATCTGAGATTGCAGCTCAAAGCTACCTCTTCTACTGGCCAAATCTGACCACCTTGAGCTGAGAAGTGTAAGTCACAGCTGATTTCATTCTCCCTCCCCTCCTCATCTAGTTTTGGTATCTCTGACCTAGAGCTGTGGTTCCCTTGAGCTCAAAGAAGTGAGGATAACTCACTGCAAACCCCCACGGTTTTCACAGAACCACAGAGTGGTTTGGGTTAGAAGGGACCTTAAAGACCATCCAGTTCTGACCCCCTGCCACGGGCAGGGACACCTTCCACTAGACCAGGTTGCTCAGAGCCCCATCCATTTCCTTGTAGAGGAAAGCACAGTATTGTAGAGAAGAAAGAGGCACAAACTGTCCAGTGTGTACCAGAAAAATGGTTCTTTACATGCCTTTTAACAGTGATTGAACTACTAACCCAACAAGGTTTAGCTTTAAGCCTAATAGGGTGGGAGTGTCTTTTGCCATTAGACAGAACACCAGCTCCCATCCACTGTGTTCTTGTCTGGGCTGAACTCTTTACCAAGGCAGAGAGAGGAGCATTGGGGTGGCACGCTGTTCATCTATGCAAATTTCATGTAAGGGTTTTGAACTGTTTGTTTTGACTAAAAAAAGAATAAAATCTGTTGAACCCACAGATGTGAAATGCTGCCAGACAGATCTTGAGAAATTCCCCTCTGAAGAGAGTCTATCAAGTGACCTCTTCAGATGTTATTTTGAGGTTTTGTTTCTCTTCACAGTGCTCTTGCCGGGGCCATCCATTTGGCAGAGTGTGAAATCAGGGTTATAAAGTCATTTTGCTACTCAGAAATTTCCCCCAGACAGGACTTTCTCACCACAGGCCCAGTACATCAGTGTTGGAATGCTCTGCTGAGCTTGTAAAGTGTATGAGACCTCACTTCAGCGAGTGTTTCAGGAGAGAACTGAATGGAAAATGGGTGAGGAGGGTTAGCAGGACACGTGCTGTAGACATGACAATAGCAGGGTCTTTGCATTTGTAGCATCCAGCGTTCAGTGAAATAAGCCCCAAGGTGTGCTGCTGCTGCAGACAGCTCCTGTTGCAGGTTTGAACCCATCATCTGTGCAGCTGCATCGCTCCTGCCCTCAGGGAGGCACAGACACCCACAGGGCGTGGGAGCACTGGTGCTTCCCTGTGCAATGCCATGAGTGTCAGTCTGGTGTCCTCCTGGCTGTGTTGTTTGGTAGCTGTTTAACCAAAGCTGTTATCTGCTAGAGCTCTGTCTGGTTTCTTCACATTCCAGCTCAACCAGTTCTTCTGTTCTCGGTCTGGATTCGTTTAGTATGAAAACAGAAATTGCTAATCCAAAATTTCATGATGCTGTGTCCTGGCTTTGTGACCCGGAGTCCTTCCCCAGCCGTGCCACCTGATAGTCCTGCACATATTGTATTTATGGTAAATATTTTTTAAAGTGCACCTTTTGTTTTTTTCTTCTGAGATACAAAATGTTGATATGCTTTACTTTCTGTGGCCTGTTGCTCAATGGAGAATAAATGAATGTTAAAGTGTGTCAGTGTCTCCTTTGTAATGTTTTCTGTGACAAAGGGAAGAAGAGGGTGTGAAATCTTTTTGTGTAGCAATGGGAAACACTCTTTCAATGTAACATGCTATTGTTGATACTGTATTTACTGATCAAAGTGTAATGAAATGGTTAATTCCTGATATAGCCTTTGTACTGTATGGTATTTTATTTTATTTTGTTATTCATTGATCCTATGAAATAAATATCCAAATTTAAGGCTTGGACTGCTTATACTTGAAGTGACAGATGTGCCTTTATCATACATCCTGTTTGCCACTACAAGCACCCTGGTTGGAGTTTAAACTGGTGAAATCCCACAGGCCTTGAACTGCACTTTGCATCTCCGCTGCAGAAAGACCCTGAGTGCTCCTATCCCTTCACACACTGACTATCCAGCCCTAACAGCATCCAAACATCAGTGTCTGCAGGCTGGCAAACAAATGGGGGAAAACAGCTAGATTTGAAGGAGAATCCCATCGGTGATGTTTGCCCTGAAAAAATCCTTCCTGAGACATGGAAAAAGCAAAGGATCTGTTCTGCCCTTCTCAGCTGATGGGCACAGCAACAAGAAGTAGGTTTATTCTGTCTTAACAGTAAGAGTTCCCTTCCTACCTTCCCATCTTTAGCATGATCTGCTTCCTCCCCAGCACTTATTTTTCTGACACAGAAGTAATTCTGTTGGAACAGAATACTTGGGTATTGCCCATGATATTAAAGTGTCCTTACACTAAATGAGTAAAAATCAGTCACCTCCATCCTCCCTGCAGCTCTTGGTTAATGTTCTGCTGAGAAATAGCTCAGCTGAGCTGTAAAATCTTCATAGGTTTTAGCCATTCAACCCTTTTGCTTTGATTTCTGGTGGAGGCAAAGTTTGCTTGGAAAGCAGTAACAAAATAAAATTTAAATATTTGGAATCATTCATGCCTGGAAAATTCATCTTCTAAAACCTAGCTCAAATGCACTGCCTCTCTGAAGGCTTTTTGGTGCTGCATCCAGATGAGAAGAACAGAAGCCTCTACCGTCCCCACATGATCAAGTACTAAAAAAATCTAATCGTTTATTTTATGGATCCTTTTATTTGGTCTGCTATGCTAAAAGGTTTATTTTTCAGTTAGCTGCCTAAGGAGCTGCAGTTCATGTCTTCAGCAGTGAAAACCCCCAGCACATGGCAGCATCCTTGTTTTCTGGCTGCAGGAGATTTCTGTGCTGGGCATGGTGCTCCCAGTGGAGCCTCCACGGTTTATGCAGAAATCCAAACCACATTTGAGCTGGATGAACAATGTTACCTTCTGCTCGTGACTTCTCTAACTCAGGGCTGACTCCTTCAAAAAGCCAAACTCCTGGGAAGTTTGGGCAGAGATCCTCACTCCTCCCAAGCCACCCTCCCACCTGGCATCACTGCACCACATCAGGCCCCACCAATGCAAAGGAAAACAAAAGCTGTGGAGAGTCAAATAATTCCTTTTTTTTTCTTTGAGAAAGGCACAAGGACCGTGCCTCTAGCAATGAGGAATGCTTTCCATTTGGCCCTTATTTCTCATTTCAATTATAAAAGTAATTTCCATAGTTCACAGGGGGAAAATTTCAGGCACCTTTCGAAACAAATGTTTCGTTTCAGTAAATGGCTTCATAAAACTTAATAAACATCCATCCAGAAGTTAATTTATTTAAAACGTCTTTAAATCCTGCTCTGCTTTATTGAATTTGTTTGAACTGTAGATCAGGTTGGAGTATATTCATGAGGGTATTTAAGCAATAAGGCAGCACATCACAGTTGTTATTCCAGGTCTCCTGTGGGCTGGCAAGTACAAAGTACAAATCACATGAAGTGACTTGGGGCACTCAAGTGCAAAACCACTCCAGAAGCACACGGGCACAGGCACGGACCTGAGTGCTGTGGGTGGCCAAACCAAGTTTCTGGGGTTGTTTTCTGGGAGCAAAATCATGACAGAGGAGCACAGAGCAGCCAGCTCATCCTCCATGGACTGCCAGCCCAGTCCTGGGCTCACTCAGCCAAATGGGAAAGGACTGTAGAGTTATAGAATCACAGAATGGTTTGGGTTGGAAGGACACGGGCAGGGACACCTTCCAATCCCTGTCTAACCTGGGCTTGAACACCTCCAGGGATGGGGCAGCCACAGCTTCTCTGGGCAACCTGGGTGAGGGCCTCCCCACCCTCACAGGGAAGAATTTCTTCCTAACATCTTGTCTAAACAGAGAAGCAGCTAAGTGTAGTTAAACATCATGTCACTGGTGATACAAACCAGCCAAGCCAGCCAGGACTTTCAAGAAAGAGGAAGAGAAAGACCAAACATTTATACTGAGTATATGCAGATGTGTGGATGTTGTATCCACACCTGTGATGATGTTTTGCCCATCTCTGAAATGTTTAAGTTTCATTTAATTTTTTTTACTCCTCCCATTTGTTTTCCTTTCACTAAGTCTTGTCTTCGAGAATTAATAATGATGTTTTCTGTCTCTTTATTAGCTGCAGTCCCTGGTGGGCTCAGCTGACCTGTCCTAAACTCTCTGTAACCATCCTTTGACAGGCTGAGAGAGTTGGGGTTGTTCAGCCTGGAGAAGAGAAGGCTCCAGGGAGATCTTAGATGCCCTTTCAGTGCCTAAAGGGGTTCCAAGGGATTTTTTACAAGGGTGTGGAGTGACAGGATAAGGGGGGGTGGCTTTAAACTGAGAGAGGGTAGATTTAGACCTCGCCAGCACTGTAACATTACACAAACACAATCCAGATGTAGTAACCATTGTTATCAAGATTTAATAGCATTAGCATACTGCTAACAACCCAACACACTCCATACCTTTGCCACTGTGAGGGTGTTCTTGTTTTAGGGACAGATTTCAGGCACAGAGAACTTCAGGGATTCACCCAAGAACTGCAGTGAAATCTTGTAGACCAGAGACTCAAACCCCAGTGTTTCACCAGTCAGCTCTACTTCATCTTTCCCTTCATTGAGCATAAGCAGGTAGTCCATGAGCTATATCGAGCCTTTGTGCCAAGACACGTATTAGCAAAACATGCCAACATTCAACCATTAAAAAGCAGCTCCTCTCTGGTTGTCAGCAACAGCAACAACCTTGTCAGAGCACTTGGCAGCTTTCAAAGCGTTCCTGGCGGTGCTGTTATCCTTGGTGCCTGCTCCATACAGGTTGAAGAAGGTGAAGCACTGTGTGTTGAATTTAAAAATACCCAAACAGCAACAAAGTCCATTAAGTGGGAATGACCTTAGCAGTGCCATGGGGAACTATAATGAAATCTGTGACACCTGACATTTTCAATGTTCTGGTTCTCCTGCCCAGCTGAAAAGCAGCTATGACTGCCAACAGCGTTATTAGTACAGCTCCCACACAGAGCATGAATTCTTACAAAGTTTCACATTACTGCAATAAATCCTTTTTCTTTTTTTTTTTGGTCTTCCTTCAGAATGGTAAATAAGATTAATTTCTCTTTACCATCAACACAAGTATGAAATTACAATTTTTGTGACCGGTCCAGAAAAACACCTTATGTCACTGTTGGTGTTTTCTGACTCAGAACTTGAGACTTACACCTCTTCTCCCTCTGGGCTTGAGCTGGACTGGGGAAACCAAATGGTACACGGATTTAGAGCTGGTCACCAATGACACCACAGCAAGGGGGCCAGACTGGTTAATTCTTTTGCCCAGAGAAGTGAGCACCCTTCCCGAGGAGGCTGATCTAGCAAACCATGTAAACACGAGACTATAGGCTTTTGAGTGAAAAAACCCCACATATTTGTGGAGCATTTGTGAGCCTCAGTGAAGGTCCACTTGCACAGCTAGCATAAATCAGTTTGCATCTGCAAAGAAACCCAGGTTGTGTTTTTAAGTGACCAAATCTAGCTTTGTTTGTTTCTGTTTTCTGAGGCTTTTTTTTTTTTTTTAAATATCATTTAGCAGGGGAAAATGAAGCAGTTTGTTATCTTCACAGCTCCAGCCTTTAATGCCAGAGGTGCTGATCAGATTAAAACAGAAATCAGAGTTTATAGCTTGTGTCTGGAAGGGATAAAGACTCTGGTCCTGATTTTGATTGAATATAGAACAGTATCTCTTGCTTATTGTACATATTACAATGGCAAGGGGGGGAGAATGTTTATCTCGGCACACCCCAGTGCTTTTTAATATACTGTTCATCATATGGAGCTCACTGGTTTACACAAAACACCCCTGTAGATTTCACTTTGTATCCTAATAAGTTTTCATGGGCTTTGGGAGACAGAGAATAATCCATGCTGCCAATCTCACTCCACTGATACACCATTAAAATCAGCTCCTCGGGACTGAATCATAGAATCACAGAATGGTTTGGGTTGGAAGGGCCTTCAAAGATCATCCCATTCCCACTCCCCTTCATGGATGGGGACACCTTCCAGCTACTGGACCAAGTTGCTCAAAGCCCAACCGATCTGGCCATGAAGAGCCTCAAAGGGCAATGTCCTTGTCTTAGAATGGCTAACTGGTAAAAATTCCTCTGCCTTTGCCCTAGGGTGATATGATTTCTGTGAGATCAGCCACATTGTTATAGTCTGATCCCTGGGCAAGAAATGTCAGAGTTCTACTGGGAGAACATTTCATAGGTAACGAACATTTTGATTGGTAACGAGGAATAAGTGTGAGTGGCAGCTTTATACTTGTGGTGAACAGGAAAGCCAAAGCTACCCATAGCTGAACTCTAAAATAGAAATTAAGGAGTGCTGTCTCTGCTCCACTTCTCAGTCTGAAAGGCAAATGTAAAATTAATGAACCTCTGTACAGGGAGACAGAGGCAGAAAGGTTCCTGCAGGGAGTGGATCTGACTTTGTTTTCCCTGCCCACTGAAATCTGTGCCAACCCAAAAGCTCTGACTTTTCAATGCTCTCAGCTTTGAGGAAGATTGTGCCAGATCAGCTTACGATGTAGGATAAAAGGTACAGAGGATTCTAAAAGTCTTCAGAAACTGTGGGTGAAATAAGTGCACGATGATAATTCTATTTGCTTTCTGTGTTTTCTATATACATCATGTCATCAAAAGGATTTGCAGACTTTCTCCAGAGAGAAGGCAGTTGTGTTAGCAACATCAGTGTGTAACAAAAAAACACTGGAAAATGGAAAGGAAAAAAAAATAAAAGAAAACCTTCTGCTCCTGTCTGATTTTCACATCTTCACAGATAAGTCAAAAGCTTTTCTCTTCAACCAAAACCTCA